ATTACAGATTGAAATATTTTATGTTAATCTGGTTAACATGGACCTATAAAAAGGCTGATTTTATTTCTCATAGCATATGACAAAAGACCACATTCCACTAATAAAAAAATGAAGCAAAATACTTGTGTATGCAATGTAAGTAGATTTGAGGACTATCCACCAAAGGGAACAAAGGTCACTAAAACTACTAAGCTCTATAGGACTAATGGTCTGCTAATGAAACTTGCAGTTGTTGTCCTATCTCCTATTGCCCTTGAAAGGAAACAGATAATTAGATACTATAAATAAAATTCACTAGGTGGATAAATGACCTCAAATCTGTAATTTCACTAACAAGAGCCTACTATACATGTACTATACAGTCATACAACCAGCTCCACATGTTCTCCAAAGGTGGGGAGTGCACTGTGTAATGCAATCTCTCTCTCAAATAAAAAATGCTTCATTACCACCTCTTCCATATACTAACAAAAAGTGAAGTTGTATAAATTAATCCAGTTTCTTAGACTTTAAATGAGAAACATATTACGAAAAGAATGAACATATACATTAATAATAAAGTACAATGTGATACAATTCTAAAATGTAAAATACTAATGTAAATCATTTCCTTTATAGATGAAAATAAGTTACTAAGTGTACAATTATAGCAAATCTTTTCAGTAACAATAAATATATTTTGCTTCACATATTGGTTCAATATCCATTTATTGAATGCCTTATAACATTTAGACACTGTGCTAATTTCTAGGTCCAGAAATGATGAATATATGTCCCTATTCCAAAGTACTTATAATTACATGAGGAAGACAGACATGCGAAGAAATATTTATACAATAATGTAATATTCAGAGAACTGTACCAGTCTCATTATTCCAGTAGTCTTGTTACCCTTGGAACCAAATTCATAATTTGTTGAGTTAGTTAGACCATTAAGGTTGAGAATGTGGTCAAAGTTATTGAAATGAACAAAGCTATGTGGCCCATGAAGTATTTTTTTAAACAATGGTATTATTTTATGGAAAATATCATACTTTATTCAACTGGCTAACAGCACAGAATCTCCAAACTTAGATTATTACAATAAGCTTGGTCTTTCTTGATTTGTAAGCAAACTGTCCTCATTAACTTAACCATCATGGATGTGACTGCTTTGGTTTCTATTTTTTATATATTTGGGGGGGTCTTTTATTTTTAAGTTTTTTGGAACCTAATCAACAAAGCAAACAAGCCAGTAAAATATAACCCAAGACATTGAAATAAAGAACAAACTGACTAATGAGAAGGGGTGGGGGAGAGGGATAATAGGGGAAAATACGTATAAAGGACACGTGGACAAAGCCAAAGAGGGTAGGGTCAAGGGTGAGAGATGAGCATAGGTGAGGCAGGGGGAAAATGGAGACAACTGTATTTGAACAATAAAAAATAAAAATAAAAACAGAATAAAATTCTGAAAAGCATGCCCAATGACAAATGATTGAGACATTAATATTTGGCTTTAGAATCCCTCTCCCAGAAAATGTGTTTGCAATTATGCTGACAGAGGGTAGAAGGAGAGAGAGAGCGTGCAAGGCTCCAGCTCAAACTGGATTTATAGGAGCTAGAGAGCTGGTTAAGGGAATGAGATGCATGAGTTATCAAGGTCTGCCACGCCGGTCAGATGCAACTCACCAAAACGTGATAAGCTAGAACAGAGGCCATTATACATAGAGAATCATGTAACCCTGGCCATTGTGGCAGGTTTTAAAGTGCTAAACATTTAAACAAGAATAAAAACAAGGCTTTGATATCAGAAATGTGGGACACATGCTACTTTTTCAAACACTTATGGAAACAACAACCTAGGACCAAGGGCTGGAAATTAATACAGGAGGCAAAATTGCTTTTAATGTTAGGAAGAACTTTCTGAGAGAACTGTTAAAAATGAAGGTAGTGAGCTCTTTACCCCTAAAAGCACTTAATTAGAAATTGGAAAAAAAATCATCATTCAAGGATGTTTTACAATTTGGAGGGGCTTTCTATACCAGGTTGAAGGCTGTATTAGAGTCCAAGGTTATTTTCAAGTTTCAATGTGATTTAGAAGAGTTATCTTTTAATGTGTACAATAGTATCATACTCTGATTAAATCCCCTATTTAGATATTAAATTTGATTAAGCATCAGTGTCATCAAATATTTATAAATACATCTAGATTTTTAAGATATTCTTTCAAATCACACAATCTTTAACTAGAATCACTACATTTAGTTATATAGCTAAACTTGTTGCTATAACAATTTAGAACAAAGTTTTAGGTACTGGTCTTTCAGTTTCTAATTACTGTAAAACAAATGTGCACCTATGGTAGACAGAAGGAAAAATCCTTATTAGCAGTTTACCATAAATGTCAGCACCATTTACAGACTTTTTCCTGAGTAATTAAAACAAACAACAAATTTCCTTCCATAAAAATGCTCCTGAAATGATGTAGTTTTAGGACTCAAGCCCTACTGAAATCTTGAGTACACAGAACCATTAAAATCAAGTTACAAAAATGCTGAATTGGAGGAGGAAGCAATTAGTCTTACATCAGAAAACTATTAAAAATGTGTAAATAGAATATAGAAATCTTTGGTTGTACATTCCTGTGTAGGAATTTATTGGACTAATCTGCCAGATGCCAGTTTTTGATCATTTGTCTTACTTTAAATATGGCTTTATAAAGTGGAGAAAAGTTGTTTCTTACGTTGAACAGAAATCTGCTTCCCTACAAATTCTAGCCTTTGTTTTTAGCTTGCCCTCTAGAGCTGCCTATTGGAAGACATATTTGAGTCTCACAAATTCCATTGTAAATATTAGATATCCCAAACACTGGATTCAATTAAACTGAGAATTATGATCTAAAAGTAACATATATATTCAGCAATATATTTAATCCTTACATTTTGCTTCCAAATCTCAAAATGCAAACAAATGCCTTCCTCTATACTTGATTCTGATTCCCAGATAGTATAACTTGAGCTAGGTACACTGAACATATGTTCAATTGCTTTTCTTGGTGTCTAGGAAAAACAGAATTATATTGCAAGATGAGGTCATACTTCATCTGTGATAAACACCTCTGTCCATCCCTAGACTAGACTGTTATGGGAATGATTTTGATTACTCAAATATTCTTCATATATGCAATCTCCCAAGCAATAGGTGAACAAAAGGTGCTCTGCATTTTAAATCAAGTTTGAAGATCACTCTAGGAATGCCCATTAACTTTGAATTTATTTTATAAAAATGCTGAATTTAACTTTCTTCATTGTATCTTTAATAATACCATATACCTACTTTCAGTTTTAGAACATATTAGAATTTTTTTGCATCAATAGTCCAAATGTTGTGGATAAAGACAAATGACAAAGGATTAGAAGTGTTAAATGGCACTTTTCCACAGGACTGAAAACAATATGGATACTGAGCATAATCATTTTGTCTCTTACACTGCAGCAATGGCTGATGGGTGATAATGAAAGGGAATCAGGCTTTAAAGGGAAAAAAAAACCTTAAGAGCCCAATGATAAAAGAATATTATTCCCTCTTCCCTAACCTGAGAGGAAAAATAGCTCCTTCTGGGGGTACTGAGAATAGATTACTGAAGCTTGCATGTCAGAGACCCATGCATTAGTTTCTCCTTTCTAGAAGAGATTAACAATTCCTAAAGTCAGTGATTAAAAGTCTTTTAAACATACGTTATATATATATATATACTTAAGAGTTCAGAAAATTCACATGTGTATAGTCACCCAATGTTATGGACTTAATTTCCTTTGAGAGAGACAGACAGACAGACACGCAGAACCAAGTAAGGTCAAGAGGGAGGAAGACCAGTGCTACAGAATTGTTTTTATGCACTGCCATCTGACTAAGGACAATCCCTGATTTTGTAATGACATGATAATATAGTCTAATAGCCTATTCTATATTGAAAAATATATTTGAAACTTATAATTGCATATATTTATATGGTAAAAGAACCTTCATTTAGGTGTATTTCCACTTTGGAACATATTTCTAAAGAATATGTACATTGTTTACTACAGAGCGTGAGAAACTACATTTGACTCCAAAGAAATCCAATCTGCACATTACCTGAGCTGTAAATAGTAAGTATTAAAACCTAAAATGCTTGTATCTTTTAAACTGATTAAAGAAAATATATCCTGTTGCAAAAAAAGAATCCTAGCAGAGAATATTGTTTGGGTTAAAAGTGATTAAACATCTAAACAGAAGTAGGTTGTGAATACTATTATTAATACCAAAAAGTCCAGTCATTTGTTTTAAATTTGGAATATCATTCACTATGAATAAATTACTAAAGTAACAACCAACATGGTGCTTTACAGGTGGTATGCATCACCACAGAAAACTGACATGGGACTCATTTAAATTCCGAAATTCCTAATTACAACACAAATTTGGACATCTAATGGCTTAAGAAATTTAGTGAAAATGATCCATTTATCCAGGGGTCAGATTTTCTATGTTCTCAATTACTTTGGAACCTGGCAGAAAAAGTATGCTAGCATTTCCATCCAAGAATCTAAGAACTCCATTCAAATGGGTTACGTGTTAAGATAAACTCAGGTCAGTGGAACATAAAACTAATAATTAAATCAAGAATGTTAATTTACTGAGCTTGAGTCAGAAACTAAGAGAGATATGATATTGCTAGAAATTGAAGCCAATTAAACTGAGAACTAACAGACACAGCAATTTTAAAAAGCATTTCAGTGACTGCTGATGGCACTGTGGAATTTTTCATGGTACACTATGCTCTTGATGAAGAGTTCAATCATTAAATAAAAGCTGAATCATAAAAAAAGGTAAACCATGTTTAGTGTGCAGTTTAGAGGGCTGAGGAACCACACTGCATTTTAGAAAAATTTGTGAACAGAACAATGGTGAAAGAAAAGGATTTAAAAGCAGCTGACTATGGTCAAAAAGAATAAGAACTCAACAACTCTTACACCTGTAGTAACAAGGTAGGATTCTCCTTTCTTTGCAGTTTATTTTTCACTTTATATAATATAGAATATACATAATTCATTCTTACTACATGAAGAGATTTCTCCAATCCACATAGTACTGATCTGTGAACTTTTTTATTTTTACCAGTCTCCCATGGATGAAGTACTTTAAAAATTAAAACAAAAAGTCTAAGAGTTTCATTTACATATGAAAATACTAAATATTCTGGATTATATTCGGTACAATTTTTGGTACAATGTATTTTGTATTTTAAGTTTCTGGGAGCTGCATATTCTTATATGGTGTACACTCATAGTAATTCTATAATAGAATATACAGTTTTAATTTATTAAGATGTAAAGACCTTTTTACCAACTATTAATGTTAACAAATTTACTGTAGGTTTCTAGAACCAGAATAGTTTCACAATGTATAAGCACACACTACTTTTAGAAATGATTGGAAAACCATGGATCCCTGTATTTATTAAACTGAATCACCTGACAGTAAAATTCAGTTAAGGCTCTTGGCATTGGTGAGACTTCCTCCCACTCAGAGCGGCTGCTGTGGTAGACCTGCACTTCGTCTGTGATTTCATCTGGTGCATAATCACCACCTAATATATAAATTTTATCTTCAATTCCAACTGCACCTGCATTGAAGCCTGCACATTCAAAAGATCCTTCACCCTTCCAGACACAAGTATCTGGACAAAAACTGTAAACCTTATAGGTAGAAAGATCACATATATAGAGTGTGCAGTTTACTGGGACAGCTTTAATTAATGTTGCATGAAAAAACTGCCCAAACTCTGCGACTAATTCAGACCACTGATCAGTTGTAGCATTGTATTTAAAAAAGCAATCAAGTGATGGGTTAAAGGCATCTGTAATCTCCACCTCTGATCCAAGAACATAAATTACATTTTGGCATGCACTTGCTTCGGGGTAGTATATGCCCCTGGGTAAGGGGCTCACAGACATCCATTCTTTGGAAAGAGGGTTGTAAGATTCAACATCTAAGAGACTTTTAATGTCCTGAGATCCTGTAGTCTTTCCACCTATGACAAATAACCTATTAAGAGCCATAACTGATGTATGCATGGTTCTGGGTGTTTTCATAGTTGATACCAGGAAGAAATCATTTTTGACTGGACAGTAGCACCAGGTTTGATCAGTGGCATCATGATATGACTCTGCAATGTGAAGCCGAACCGTTCTACAACATGACCCTTTGCAACCACCTGTCAAGAATATTTTTTCTCCATAGCTCGACAGACTAGATCCCGGCAAATCAATCAGGTGCGATTGTGGCAGTATCTTCCACGAATCGGTTTTAATATTATAGCAAAATGTATACTGATTTTCTCCATTTTCCTCAGTTTTGTGAACGAATATGTATTTTTCAGTTGTGGATGGTCGAGCATCAGGGAAAAGTCCACCAGAACCTTGCACACACTTAATTGCATCCAAGATTACGTCAAAACAGTTTGTGCTTTTGAGTAAACACTCTTCACTGAGCAGACAGTCTTGAAGTGTCTCCTCAGGTAACTGATGTAATCTTACTTTTTTAATCAAATAAGGTAGATGCTTTTGCCTTGATTCTAAGTTATATTTAGTCCAATTAAGGACAACTTTCAGTACAGTTTCTTCTTCAGGAACATCTAATTCATCTGATTCCAGACATTTCTGTAGTATTCCAAAATTCATCTCTAAGAAATCACTGGATTTAAATAATAAGGAAAAGTGATGTTGTACAAAGTATAATGCATGATTAAATAAGCGGGTAGAGCCATAGCTATCTGACATAGATAATAACTGTAAACAATTGACAATATTAATACTTTTTATTAAAAAGTCACTGCAAGCTTTGGATAGGAAGGAAACTTGAAGAAATGATGACAACTGGAAGAACATTTCCACATTGTCATCTGTTATCTGTGTTTTTCCAGTATAGGCATAGTCAAGAAATGCTTTCACTGCTTTAGAGGACAAATTAGTGATGGTAACACTTCCACCATCTCTTTCTTTCATGTTTACTTCAAACATAGCCCTGCAAAAATGAAGAACATAGAAGAGGAAGTAAACAGAAATATTCTATTACATGATAATTTTCAGTATTAACTTATAAAATTTCCTCTAAGTTGATTTAAAATATATTTATAAAATATATTTCAAAGCATCCCAAAAATTAGTTTAATGTCTAGAATAGTCATATACAATATTATTTTTCCATAAAATATATGTATTATATAACTCCCACATTGCAAAATATATACATTATATCAGAGATATAGCAACTAATCCAAACAAGGCTATAAAAAGATTCAAATTCTGTATACTGATTTGATGTTCTTATATATTATTCATAAAATCAGGGTAAAATATCTCTAATGGCTGAATTTATTTATTTGTGAGTTAATTAGTATCAACCCTGCAGGTGATAACTAAAATTACTTAAGATATGTAATGCTTTTGGGTTTAGTATTTAAAAGTCTCTTTCAGGGCCCTGGCTGGCGTAGCTCAGTGGATTGAGCGCGGGCTGTGAACCAAAGTGTTGCAGGTTCGATTCCCAGTCAGGGCACATGCCTGGGTTGCAGGCCATGACCCCCAGCAACTGCACATTGACGTCTCTCTCTCTCTCTTTCTCCCTCCCTTCCCTCTCTAAAAAATAAATAAATAAAATCTTAAAAGTCTCTTTCAAATTAATTTTCACTTTGGCAGTAGTTAGACCTGTGAAAGATGTAATACAGTGCGATATCAGGTGTCTCTGACACATTGGTGTGGGGAAATCCTCCAAATAAGTAAACACACCTCTAAAAGGACACATTTCATTAGAGCACTTCAGGAAAAAGGGAATGAGATTTCATAAAACTAAATGATAATAGTGTATCATAGCTAAGGTCACATATCAGTAAATGGTAGAGCTGGGATTTAGATTTAGAGCATGTGTATTAGGAGGTCAAGTACTTAGCTATTATACTATACAGCTTCCTCTGATGAAGAGGTGACGTGAGGATAAGGGACCAGAAAAGAATTACTTAGAAGAGAAACTGGATTAGAATAGAGGGGGAGAAACTGGTCGAACCTGAGAGGGAGCATAAGAACAATTAGGGCTCTAGTGAAGTGTGAAGAAGAATAACTGAAGTGCCCTGAGAAAAGAAATGGGAAAAAAAATGAAAACAGATAGTTAGGCAAACAGCTAATAAAAACTGTATTTTTATCTTAAATCTTACTTGTTTTTTTAAAGTAAGTGTGTTTATTAGAAATTTAAACCCTGCTTACTTCAAATAAAAATTACTTCTAAAATTGAACATAATGCAAAATATTACAGTGAGGGCTTAACTTTATTGCAGTGTGACTAACAGGGCTGAAGTCCATGATGTCACCGAGAAGTCCGTGTATCTGACCAAGAGGCCTCGCAGGGTGGGCCATGTGTCTACACTTAACCTTGCAGACTCAAACACCCAATGTCGAAACAGTGGGTTGTTACAGTATCACGGCTAGGACACTCTTTGTAAGATGATCTATCTGGGGAGCGAGCTTATATTCAGTAGGTTGCCTAAATTTAGAACAAGTTGGGTGCTCTCCAGAGATGCTTCTAGTGGTACTTTTCCCTATTATAGGAGCAACTTTGCCTGAGAGGACAAACCTGAAACCCTCTGGGTCAGAGTGCCTCTCCTTCGGATAACCCATGGATATAATACATGACCCTGAATGTATTTTCCTCTCAGACTCCTCATGTTCTTTGAACTTTCCTTCCATTTTGGATGAATATCGCCTTTCCTCTTTTTCTAAAAGACATAGTGCACAAATCCCCCAAATGAAACTGACCCCAGATCAAAACAATTTTCCCCTGATCATTTTAAGGGACTAATGTTCTATAGAACTTTAGGAAATGCTGGCCTGCAAAGACCTAAGCTTTACAAAAGATTGTACTAAATTTTCATACTCAAAAATCATTAATTAATCTAGGTTCTAATTAGCTGTTTTTGAGAATTAAAATTTACTGTTGAATGCTCCTGTGCATGGAAAATTGAGTTTTAAAATATAATTATCCATATCATAAAATCTGAGTAATAAACAAGGTAAAGTACCTGAAAAAGTCACTGCATGCTGCTAACACACAACGATGACATGGGATTATTTCATCTTTCACAATTATTTTGAAATCATAAAAGACATTTTGTTCTCTAAAATTCTGCAGTACACTTAAGATTTTCTGTCCATGATCTTCTGACACAAGAAAGTCGTTAATCTTCTCAGATGAAATTCCATTACATGAGCTGTGTTGATTGAAATCATATGAATTATCCATAGCCAATTTCTATCTCTTCTTAGAACTGAAATGAAGAAAAAAATCACTGAAGTAGAGTCCTAATAAAACTTTCAAATCAAATTTGCCTTCGTTATCAATTACAAAAAAATGCTCACTAGGAACAATCATAAGAGAGCAAACCTTGTTCTAAATATGTGTTTTCATGACATTTAAAAATAATTCCTTTTGAACTTTTATAAATATTGTGCTCACTGTAATAAAAATTATACTATTAAGGGATAAAATTCAAGGCTATATAAATGTGTTAAGTAGCACAATTTATAAGTTGTATAAATAGCTTATATAGAATCTTACTACATGACTAGCCCTGTTATATGTAAGAGCTATTATTTATATAGTGATCATCATTTGGGTATATACCCAACACTTCCTTCTCCCTGCCCATTCATTTTCTTCTGGTAGCAAAGTAGATGTTAAAATGTTGATTTTGAAGCACAGATATATGCCTTTTAGGGTTAGACTTTTAAAAGACAACTGACTGGGAAAAAAATCAATGTTAAGTTGTATTAACTCGTTATGGATTTTACTAAGGAAGAAAAAGGCAAACATTGGTCCACATTGGTCCATTTGAAAGCAGAAAGAAACAGCAAATAACTTTATTTTAAAGGCCTTTTAAACATGAGGTCAGAAATCCCAGATAGTTGAAGGCCAGATAACTGACTTTCCCAAACCTAAAATTCATGAAAGTTTATACTGTAAAAAGCAAAAATGTGAGAAACAGCACAGAAAAGAAGACTAGGAACTAGAGGAGCTAGAGAAATAGAGATCCTTGATTCCTTAGTATAGTTCTGTTTTGGTTATCTATTGCTTTGCAAATCATCCCTAAAACTTAGTAGTTTAAGACAACAATTTAAAATCTCCTATGGTTTGAGAGATTAGCTGGTGCTTCTTGCTTGGGGTTAGAGTCAGATGGCAGGTCTTACTGAAGTCACCTGAGGGACTGACTGGGTTAGAGGTCCAGTGTGAATTCTTCACTCACATTCCTGATGCTTCAAATGGGACTGCTAGAACAGATGGGACTCTCTCTCTCCTCATGTACTCTCTCCACACGGCTAGCTCGTACCTCTGCATACATGGTAGTCTTGTGATATGTGGACTTCTTTCACGGAGGCTTGGTTCACCCAAAGGGGCTGTTTCAAGTTTAGGTGGAAACTAAACACTGGAGTAGTAGTCTCAATGGTTTTAAAGCACCAAACAAAGCTACATTCTAGGACTGAGACAATCTACTGCTGTGTACAGTAACAATGAATCATGTATAGCTATTTAAATTTAAATTACTTAAAATTAAATAGTTAAGTAATCATAGCCACATATAGTGTCATGGTTACTTTTATGTGTCAACCTCACTGGGCCACAGGGTACCCATATACAGAATGGGATAAAAGTAGGTTTACAATAATATAAGAATACTCACAACTAAACTCAAAACTATAACCTACTTCTGCCCTATCCTGTATTTATTTGGCTGAACATCATTTGTAGGTGTGAATGTGAGGGTGTTTCTGGGTGAGATTAACATTTGAACCAGTAGACCAAGTGAAGCAGACTGCTCTCCCTAATGTGAGTGGGACTCATCTAATCCACTGAAGGCCTGAAGAAAACAAAAGGCTGAGTAAGAAAGAATTCCTTCTCTCTGCCTGGCTGACTTCGAGTGGGACATCAGGTTTCTCCTACTCTAAACTAAGACTTGAACTACAACTTGACTATCACCTATCCTGGGTTTTCCAGATTGTGACTGCAGATTTTGGGACTTCTCAGTCTCCATAAACACATAAGCCAACCACTTATAGTAAATCCATCTATCAGTCCATCTATCCAGCCAGCCAGTCCTTCGATTGGTTTGTTTCTCTGCGAACACCCAACTAATACATGCGGCTAGTGCCTACTGTATTGTATAGCATGTATATAGCAAGTTCCACTGGATAGCTGATATACTGTTTATATTAAGAATAGTATGCTTATATAGGAGTATCTAATTGTGTGAGTGTGTATGCATGCATATTTGGATGTAATTGGCAGGATTACTGGAAAAATAGTTGCCTGCAATGATTTTGTGAGCACTGTTCTGAGTAGCTATAAATAGGGAGACATTAAGAAAGAGTGGGTGAAATGGAGGGAGAGTGATAATGAGAGGTTTGTGGGTAGTTCTGAACCAGGTGTTACCCCTGATCTATTTCTCAAGTCTAGCAATAGGCTGAAGCATCAATCTGTTACTGCAAAGAAGGGCCTCGTCTCCATGGTCTGCCTCAGAGGGTAGCCATAATTTAACATTTTAATTAAAATACATTTTCTCAAGGCTGCAGCCAACCATCTATTTTCCTAGATTGTATAACTAAAAGTCTGTGTTTTTACCCCTTATCTAGCCTTTTTTTACAGCTTAGAGAAGTCGGCTCTGGGGGGAGAAATGACTGCCCGGCACCAGCTGTGAAAATCCATAGGTGTCCGTGGGAAATTTACCAATTCCTGTTTGAAGAGAGATTGCACTGAAATGAGGGGAGGAAGCTCCCTCCCTTTCCCATGCTTCCCCTTCTCTGGAGAAGCAGCACATTCCCCTCCCCCTGATCTCTTTGTTCTGCTTTACCTCTAAATCCTTATAAAAACCTCCACCTGCATTGAAATTTTAAGATGGGTTTTTCTGATGACATAATTCTCCCATCTTCGTGAACTGCCAGCAATTTGAATAAAACTTCTTTCCTTTTTAACCAGCAACTGCCTCACAGGTTTGGTTTTCATTCACGCAGGCAGCTGAGCCTGGGTTTTTGTTACAAGAGAACCATAAAATTGGATGGGAGACTTGGTCTCTACCCACCCAAGTCAGCATAAGTAGAATAGAGAGCACAGAAGTCCACCTTACCAGGGTGTAATGAGGTGCCTCAACTCTCCTCCAATTTTCCTGCTGGAGTAATGTCAGAGAAGGCTGAATTGAGAGCCAGGCCATTAATATCTGCAGAGTGATAACAGTGTCCATCAATCACTTCCCCCTCACTGGAAGTCAAGACCATGTGGCACATGGGGAGCCTGCACTTCTCTCCCAGCTGGCACTAATATGGGATTCCTCCCTCTCCTTGCTGGGGTCAAGTCAAAGGCCTAGTGCAGAGTCAAGAATTTCACTCTCACTCAGTAGCAACAAGCCAACCTCACATGATGTCAGTGGAGACCACATCTGGAACAGCAACAAGGTGCTCCTCCCTCTCCCAGCCAGAGTGGTATCCAAGGATGCAGAGAGCAGAGCCTGAATTCCCAATTCTATCTAGCAGTAAAAAGGAGACCCTCCTATCCTAGATGTCAGTGTAGGTGAGGTACAGAATCTAGACCTCTACCCCAACCTGGAAGTAATTAGGTGATGACCTTAATTTAATAGAGCAGTGTCAGAAAAGACCTGCTAAAATGCAAAATTTAAATAAGTTCCAGAGTCTTACAAAATAATATTCTGAGAACTAGCAACATATCAAATTGAATGAGAAAAACAATCAACAAATACCAACACTGAGATGACACAGATGTTAGAATTATCTGCTAAGAATTTTAAAACAGTCATCACAGAAATGCTTCAAGAAGAAATTATAAATATGCAAATGAAAAAATAGAAAATCTTAGTAAAGAAAGAGAAGATCTAAAGAAGAACCAAACAAAAATTTTAGAATGAATAAAATAGCCAAACGTAACAGAGGGGACAAAAAAAGAAAGCATCAATGAGCTTAAAGAGAAAACAATAGAAACTACACAATCTGAAACTTGAAAATGAAAGGTTCCGATTGAAATGAAAATGAAAGGTAACACAATGAAAAAACAGACTGAAAAGAGGAAAATCATATTGAAAAACAAATGAACAACTTGAAGAACATGTGGGACTATAATAAAAAACCTGAAACCTATGCCACCAAGGACAGGAAAAAGAGAGTGGGACTAAAAAAGTACTTGAAGAAACAATGACTGACAATGTCCAAAATTTGGCAAAAAACATAAGCCTACAGATTTGTGAATATAAGCGAGGCCTAAACAAGATAAGTCTAAAGAAATCTATGCCAAGGAACATTATAGTCAAACTTCTAAAAACTAAAGACACACACAAAAATTTTGCAAGCAGCAAGAAATAACTTACTTGTAAGGAAAAATCAATTTGAATTTAGCATGAATGTTATAAATAACTCTACACATAATAATTTGATAGTGCAGGTAAAACAGACTAATTCCTTAAAAAAGTAAAAAGTAACACACATTAAAGTAAAGTAACACACATTACTACAACTCAATCAAAATGAAAAACAAAATTTGAACAGCCCTGTAACTGGGAAGGAAGTTAAATTAATCAAGTTTAAAGAAGAATTAATACTAAACCTATATAATTTCTCCCAGAATACAGAACAGAAGGAAATATTTTCTGACAAATTTCATCAAGTCAGTATTATTGTGGTACCCAAAGAGAGACAGTACAATAAAATACCCAATATACAGAACAATATCCCTCACAAATATAGATTTTAAATTGTTTTTAAAAATCAGCAAAAAAATCATTAATATATAAAAAGAATTATATACTATGACCAAGAAGGTTTATCCAGGGATGTAAGTGTGGTTCAATATTTGAATATCAATCAATGTTACCCACCACTGAAGCAAGTTAGAAAAATTACATGATCATACCAACTGACACAGTACAATCATGCACCACTTAACAATGATACATTTGGAGAAGCAAGTCACTTGGTGATTCTGTCATTGTGCAAACATCATAGTATATACTTACATAAACCTAGATGGTGTGGCCTACTACCCATCTAGGTTACATGGTATACACTGTCATATATGTGGTCATTGTTGACTGAAATCTCATTATGTGGTGAATGACTGTAAAAGCATTTAAAACTCCAACACCTATTCATGAAAAAAAAAAAAAAACTCTCAGCAAACAAGAAACAGAGAAAAACTTCCTCCTCTTGATGAACGACATCTATAAAAAACCTAGAGCTAACATTATACTGAATGGCAGGAGACTGAATGCTTTTGCTCTAAGATGAGGAAAATGGCCAGGGTGTCCACTCTCACCACTGCTATTCATCATAGCAATAGACATTATAGTCAATACTCCAAGGCAAAAAAAAATCTGTTATAAAAAGGTATATACACTGGAAAGGAAGAACAAAGTGTCTTTATTTACTGATGACAAGATTGTCTACATTGAAAATTTCAAGTACTCTACAAAAAAATTCATAAAATTAGTAATTTGGTTCAGCAATTCCACAGGATACAAAATTAACATATAAAAATTAATTGTTTTCTAAAGGTATCTGCAGTAAATCTACCAATTCCTGTTCATACCAAAGACATGAACACATGGAAACCAAAACTTCAAATGTAATACCATTTATAATAGTTAAAAGAGAAATACCTATGTATAAATCTAAACCTGTCCTGTACACTGAAAACTACAAAATGCTGACAAAAAAATCAAAGAAACCTAAAGAAATGGAGAGATGGGTCATACTCATGAATTAAAAAATCAACATAGTAAAGATGTTGATTATCTCCATAGCAGTATACAGGTTTAACACAATTTGAATCAAAATCCCAGGAAGATTTTTTTGTAGAGATAGGTAAGATTATTCTAAAACTTATACAGAATAACACAGAAACTAGAATAGCTAACATAATTTTGGAAAAGAATAATGTAGGAAGAATCAGTCTACCTAATCTCAAGAATAATGCAGCCACAGTAGTCAAGACTGTGAGATATTGGTGGATCACACAGATCAGTGGAACAGAATATATGACAAAGGAGTAGCCCCACTCAAGCAAAGCCAACTGATTACTTTTTTTATCTCCCCCCTTCACTCCCTCCCACCCCAGCCATCCCCACCTCCCCCCTCAGTTCTACCCCCTTGGCTTTGTCTATGTGTCCTTTATACATGTTCCTTCACAACCCTTCCTACTTTTCTGCCATTATCCCCTTCCACCTCCCCTCTGGTTACTGTCAGTTTGTTCTTGATTTCAATGTCTGATTCTATTTGCTCACTTGTTTGTTTTGTTGATTAGGTTCCATTTACAGATGAGGTATTTCTCTTTTACCACCTGGCTTATTTCACTTAGCATAATGCTTTCCAGCTCCATCCATGCTATCAGAGAGGGTAGAAGCTCCTTCTTTCTTTCTGCTCCATAGTACTCCATTGTGTAAGTGTACGACAGTTTTTTGATCCACTCATTTACTGATGAGCACTTACATTGCTTCCAACACTTGGCTATTGTAAATAATGCTGCTATGAACATTGGGATGCATAAGTTCTTTTGAATTGGTTTTTCAGGATTCTTAGGGTGTAGTTCCAGCAGAGCCAACTGATTTTTGACCAAAGGTCTAAAGCAAGTCAGCAAAGATACACATTTAACAAATAATGGTGAAGCAAATGGATATTCACAGGTTTAAAAAAAATTAACTCAAAATGAATCATAGATTTAAATGTAAATCTATAAAATTTTTGAAAGAAAATATAGGAGACAATCTTTGTAACCAGGGATTAGTAGGTTAGTAGATATGACATTAAAAGCACAATCCATGATATAGAGGCAAGAAGTTGATAAACTGAATTTTATCAAAACTAAGAACTGTCCCTCTGTGAAGGGCTCATTAAGAGGATGAAAAGACAAACTATGGGCTGAAGAAACTATTTGCAATGAAATCTGATAAAGGATTCATATCTAGAATATATAAAAAAAACTCTTAGAAGTCACCAGGAAAAAAAGGCTGGCTGGGTGGCTCAGTTGGTTGGAACATCATCCCATACACAAAAAGGTTGCACATACAGTCCCCAGTTGGGGTGTGTATGGGAGGCAACTGATTGATGTTTCTCACATCAATGTATCTCTCTGTCTTTATGTCTCTCCTCCTCCTTTCTCCCTAAAAATCAGTAATTAAAAAAAAAACTCACCAGCAAAAACCACACACACATACACAGACAAAATAATCCACTTAAAAACAGGCAAAAGACATGAAGAAACATTTCATCAAAGAATATATACAAATGGCAAATATGCATGTGACATGATGTTCAATATCATTAGTCATTACAGGAATGCAAAATTAAGACCACAATGAAATATCTATCACTACCCATCTATTAGAATGGTTAATATAGAAATAGTGATAACATCAAATGCTTAAGAGGATGTAGAGATACTGGATCTCTCATACATCGCTAGTGAAAATTGAGTTTCTTAAAACTTTGAACATAAGATAGTGCTCGCACATAGCCAGGGAACTTGATGGCACAGTTCTAGCTGATTTGAGACCCCAAACAACAAGCCTTACTTAGCTTAGGACATAGTTGTACTGCCCACCTGGGCAGAGAAGTTAATTTTAGTCCTGTGCTAAAGTGCTAAGTGTAGCCCACAGTCCCACGCCATCAAGTAAGCTGGCCAGAGGACCTGGGAAACTGACGAGCCCAGCAGCACTTAAGGAGAACACCTGGCCAGTGATTCCACCTATCTGCAAAGCCCAGCTGGTGAACTCATTAGGCCAGGGAGGTTGGTGTAGTTTTATCTTATTCAGGTTTCTAGCCAGGAAGACATGCCAGCTGTGGAGTCTGTTATAAAGAACCACCCAGGCTTGGAAAGCAAATATGTATTCAGCCTGCTTAGGGTTGAATACAGCCTGCAGGCCTACCAAAGAGGAAGCCTAACCAGAATACCTGGAAAACTTCATAGCCTCACCTACAGTTCCACTTACAACAGCACTGGAGCAGAGAGGTGAGCTAATATGACACCACCAAAGGAAAGTAATAAAGCTCCAATAACTAACCTTAAAGAAATAGAGATTTATGAACTGTCTGCAAAGAATTCAGAATATTCCTCTTACAAAAAATTTACTGAACTACAAGAAAACACACACAATGAAATGAAATGAACAAAATGAGAAGTTTAACAAAGTAAAAGCCATTTAAAAATACCCAGAAATTTTAAAGTTGAAAATAGCAATCAATGACTGGCCTGAAGAATTCATTGGAGAGCTTAAACATCAGACACAATCAAGCAGAAGAAAGAATCAGTGTACTAAAAGGAGGAGCTCAAAGGAAAATAAAGAGTGAATACAGACTATGGAGTCATAGGACACCATCAAAAGAACAATATATGCATTACGAGAATGCCAGAATAAGGAAGAGAAAGGAGAAGGAACAGAAAGTATTTTTAAAGCAATAATGACTGAAGACTTCCCAAACCTGGGGAGAGAAATGGACGTCCAGAGTCCCATTTGGCCCAAAGGATTACAAATAGGTTTAACCCAGAAGGGCTACACAGAGACACATTATAATGACATTGTCAAAAGCCAAAGACAGAATGCAGCAGAAGAGCAAAACATCAGACTGCCACTCCCAATAAGATTATGGGCAGAAATTTTGTAGGTCAGTCAAGAACAAGGCAATATATTTAAAATACAGGAAAAAAACTATCAGCTAAGAATATTACACCTAGCAAAACTGTCTTTCAGAAAAAAATGAGAGATAAAAACTCCCCCCATGCAAAAAAAAAAAAAAAAAAGCAAGCTATGGGAGTTCATTGCCACTATACCTGCCTTACGAGAAATACCAAAGTAAGTTCTTTAAGCAGAAATTGGATGCCATTAACATCATGAGAACATATGAATATACACATAACACTGACACTTGTAAATACAGTGTCAAAGTTAGAGTCTCTAATATTGTAATGGTGGCACATAATTCATTGACAACTCTAATTTAAAAGTTAACATACTAAAATGACCATTAATAGACCTCTGGCCAAGATGGAGGCGTAGGTGGACACACTGTGCCTTCTCGCACAACCAAGACAGGGACAACAACAATTTAGAAACAGAGTAACAACCAGAACTGACAGAAAATTGAACTGTATGGAAGTCAGACAACCAAAGAGTTAAAACAGACATGTTCATCCAGACCTGTAGGAGGGGCAGAGTTGGGCAGCCAGGCGGAGAGGGGTCGGGCAGAGAGGGGTCGCAGCACAAAGAGCGGTGGGACCCACATGTAAGGCATCCCGGGCACGCAAGACCACAGCGGGCGGATCCTGGGCACCCAGGCAGCAGCTGGCAGATACCGGGCTCAGGATGGCAACCGCAGACCCAGCAACACGGCGATTGTTAAGTAAGGCACTGTGCACAACGCAGTCTCCCAGCGCTGGGAAATAAAAGCCTCAGGGCACTAACTGAGAACACCTGTGGGGGTTGAGGCACAGGGAGAGACTCCCTGCCTCACAGGAGGGTTTGTTGGAGACTCACGGGGTCCTACAACATGCACAAGCCCACCCACACAGGAATTAGCACCGGAAAGGCCTAGTTTGCTTGTGGGAAGGAACAGAAGGGACTGAAGTCTGACGGAGAGTAGAGCAAGCTCCATTGTTCCCTCTCAGACCCCATCCCCATATACAGCGTCACAACCCAGCCACTGGGTTGCCCTGCCCTGGTGAACACCGAAGGCTCCGCCCCTCATATGTAACAGGTGTGACAAGACAAAGAAAAATGGCCCAAATGGAAGAACAGATCAAAGCCGCAGAGCAAATACAACTAAGTAACTAAGAGATAGCCAACCTATCAGATACACAGTTCAAAGCACTGGTGATCAGGATGCTCACAGAAGTGGTTGAATTTGGCTACAAATTAGATGAAAAAATGAAGGCTACACTAAGTGAAATGAAGGAAAATGCACAGGGAACCAATAGTGATGGGAAGAAAACTGGGACTCAAATCAATGTAATGGACCAGAAGGAAGAAAGAAATAATCAAACAGAAAAGAATGAGGGAACAAGAATTCAAAAAAATGAGGAGAGGCTTAGGAACCTCCAGGACATCTTTAAACGTTCCAACATCTGAATATTAGGGGTACCAGAAGGGGAAG